TTAAATTATTAAGGAAACCTTCTTCTTCTGCTTATTTGGCACTACAACCGTTTGTCGGTTTGGGCCGCGGCCAAACAGCTTCGCCACTTGCCTCTCTCCTTTGTGAATTTGTGCCGTTTGTTTATCCCAAGTGCGAGCAGGTCCTTCTGTCCTTCCATTTTGTTTGTGGGCGCCCTTGCTGTCGTTGTCTATCCATGGGTGCCGAGTCGAAGGATCTTTTCACCGGAGCGTCGTCATCCATGCTATTTGATATTTTGATTTACATGTTTTTTTTTAATGGAAGCTGTATTTTCATTAAAACAAAATAATAAACATTTTTTAAACAAAGAAAAGTGGCGAACACTTGCAAAAATGTCTCTTCCCTATTTACATACTCGCCAACGTATTTCTTTTATACAACGGATGCGTAATCAAAAATTTACCCGTCTAAGAATGTGAAGAAAGCTTTAGTGTTGTATGGATTATTGAACCTCTCAACTTATCGATTAATTAATGAATCTGTTAATCGAGTCTAATTTTCCAGAAGGTTTTGGAGATTTTAGATTTTTTATAAGAAAGAAGATGAAAAATCGCCAATTGTACTTATGTAAAGCGATAAACGAAACAATAATCACCAACATGACAAACTTACCATTGAGACTTTGAACTTCAAAATTTCAAATCAGTGCACATTCAGTGACTCATTATTTTTCATTTTTAAATTCTTTTACATTTGTTAACTTGTTAGTTAGTTCGTGCAGTTTGCTATGCATACTTATTTGTATTTAATATTTGTTTGTGTATTTTTTGTGTGCTCTGTGCTTTGCTCCAATTTTTATCTTAAACTAAGTTGTTGTGGTAACTTGATAAATGGACTGCTTTCAGGCGATTCCAGCTAAGCATACTTTTGTATACATGCAATTAATTAGTAGTTTAAAACAAATAATACCGATTTGCAAAGAAGTTACATGTAGTGGTTTGTAAAAATATGCATATAAAAATAGATTGAAATAAAATAAGTAACTAATCACAAAATCTGTATACAAGATATTTAATTAGCAGTATTGAATAATGCATAAAAATGCAGGCATGCAAGTTCGATTTGTTTAAACGGTATGCCAAAATGCTTTGCTGGCTGTGATTTATAACTTCTCGGCTTCTAATGTTAAAAGCGGCATTCAACATTAGATTGAAGATCACAATTGGCAAACTATTTTATATTAGAGAAAGGGGCGACTGCTTTTGCTCAGCTTCATAGTGAAAAATTAATGTTTTGCTCCAGTAGCAATCTGGTTCATTAATTCATACCAATTTTCTTTAGACAAATTCAAAAATTTATGAGAGTACCAGACGTGAAACATGACATACGTTTAAGTTCTCATTTATGCTTAGGTTAGGTTACACGGTTTGCTTTTGTCAAGAGTTCACTTTGTGTTTTCGCATTTTTAGAAGAGAAATATTTTCTAACAACTTATTCCTGCATGTTCTTCAATCATCTCGATCTTTTGACAAATCCAGACAGCGCCCCCCCTATAATGTCAAGTTGTCTAAGTTGTTCAGCTAAGTGGACCCCATTACAGTCCACAAAAATCTTAAAGGTTTTATTCATAGTGCCATAGGGACAATAGGCCAGTATTCCCGTGGGACTCTTTATTTTTCGCTCATCTAGCGATGAACAGAGCGTTCGCGATATTCTGCATGTGCCGAGCCTAGTCCAGCAGCGAATCCGATATTATGCCTACCTTTGATAGTGGAAGTCTCAGTAAAGGCCTGAACTCAGGTTCCCAAGTGCCATTTTCTCGAGAAATTGCCCGCTTCCCCATTTCGCTACACACCTTTATGCTCTCGGATCCTGTGAAGACTGCTGTATGTATGTTGGGTAAGAGAGATTGCAGGCATTTTGGAAATTCCCAAAGTCATACGGAATTACTCATTNTTATGCTCTCGGATCCTGTGAAGACTGCTGTATGTATGTTGGGTAAGAGATTGCAGGCATTTTGGAAATTCCCAAAGTCATACGGAATTACTCATTGCCGCCCTGATGGCCTTGATAACAATCTTACTGTCTAAACATCGCCCGCCATGTTTACCAATCGCGTAATAAATCTCAAAAGTGCTTCTGACGCCGGCTAGAGCCTCGTGCGGACTGTAGATATGCCAACTGTTTTACAAAGCTGTGCAGATATTTAGGAATGGGTTTCAACCGTCTCCTACCAGACATTACGCTCAGCTTCATAAGCCTAGGATAGAGAGTTTTGTTATTAGCCATGACCAGGCATTTAAGCACAAGTGGTATATAATAACTTAGACCACTTTTAAAACTATGGGCAGCGATTTCTCAAGCCTTAATGACTGTCCGGCAAAACCTCCATTCTGGGCATTTTTCGAACTCCCTTCTCGGACGAGGAAAAAAAGTGTATGATATGATTGACTTACGGCGGCTTTTCTGGGCCTCAACCCAGTAAATTCTTTGCTTAAAACTTTTTAGAACATTTTAACCCTCTAGCTGACATTTTTTAATACTTCCTAAAAAACTGAATTAAACTTTCTTCTTAAAATTTTTGTAAAACATTTTAACCTTCTAATTGCTATTTTTAATGAACTTATATGGAATGGAATAGGTTGGCCGGAAGACACAAAAACAACTTGTCTAAGCAGGCGGGTTGGGAGTTCTTTACTCTTCAGTATACTTACCAGAATAGTTTATGAATCCAAGCAGTTTGTCGAGGAAAGAGAGATGGCTGTGCAGCTCATCCTTTCTTAACCCATTCAGCCCAAAATGTACCACCTCAGTCTGGCGAAGGCCCGACGCCAACAGGGAAAATGTTCTGTGCTATCCTCATCTTTCCACCACAGTGGTTTATCGATAATGTCTATAGTGACCATATGTCGCTCCCACGGATTATGTGCCGTAATCAGTCCTATCAGGGCTCGTAGATCGCGCCTTTTCAGGAAACACTTCGTTGTTTTGCAGGTGTTACTACTGCATCATCGACTCTCATGAGCTTTATTTACTAAATCCTTGATGTAAATGACAGTTCCCGCTATGCTTGGCCTTAAAATTGTATCCGGTCCAATTGGACGCTCCAAAGACCGCAGTTCGCTTATTCATCAGCCATGTCGTTGCACCCACACAAGTACAAGCTGATTCCACTTTGCAACCGAGTGCAGGCTCAAGTTGCATTTCTACATTATTTTTGAAAAGTTGCGTTTGGCTTTCTGACTGTCAGTGCAGACCCTGATTTTATATCCAATCTGCTATTTTAAGTCGTGCAAAATTACGATTGAAAGAATGTTGTTGTTATACCTTTTATACCTAGGTTAGTGAAGTGGTTCCGCGTCTTGGCTATAGCGGGATAGGCGCAGAGATAGTGTTGATGCTCTCATGCTCTTTCTCGTTTCGGCAGCTTTACGAAAAAATCGGTGGTTCTTTCCATGCGTGTCCATAAGGCAGTGCCCGGTGATTACGCCGGCACCTGGTATTTACCTACTCGATAAGTTGATCTTTCAATCTACGTTTCCATCTTGAGCAAAATTGATGATAGAAGTTGAGAATCCTTCTGCATTTTATGACGACCTTGGCTGTTGTTTCGTTGGATTTTGAAGATTTAATACATATCAGCTTGTAGTAGTGATATGCCGGAGAGGTGAAAGTTATGAGCCACCGAGCGCTCTCCATAACAGCATTTAGGAATCGAGAACGAGTTCCGGTTTTGGTTTACTTCTGCACGAGAACAAAATTTAATGTCAAGAACGTTACCACAAAAGAGCCCAAAAGGAAACAAAAGTATTGAGAGCATGTTGAATAGGAGCAAAATGAGGACGAGACTTTCGGTAACGTTTCCAATCAGAACGAAAGTATCGATAACGTTTTCAAGGAGGTTCAAAAGGATCAAAAGTCTTGGGAACGTTTTGCTAGAGAACAAAACTTTTGAGAACGTAACATTAAAAATGAGAGAGACGTCTGCCTGTTGGGCTAAAAAATCGTTTCCATGATTGTTAATTCTAAGCCAGAGGAAAGCTGGATAGGGTGAACTGTTCATTTATCGAACAACTTTTCATTTTCCGTGCAAGAAATGTTCGTGCCTTAAGTCTTTTGTTGACTTAATTTGCATAGTCATCTTTCAGTTCTTTTTTGATTAATTTTAATAGGCAAACATTTCAAATGAATGCAACGCTATGAAACAAATTATGTTCTTGCTTCCATTCTTCCCGAATAGTAAATAGAAGATTTGTTTTCGTTTCGTTATCTTTTAGAAAGGGAAAAATCCTTAGACTTTTGTTCCCGTTTTGTTCTGGAGATTTTTCTTCCCATTTTGTTCTCTTAGAAATGTTCCCGAAAGTATTTTTCGAATTTTTTTCCTTTGGGAACGCTTCACAGGGTGCTTATTATTCTTGTTGAGAACGTTCTCGACAGTTTTTTCCCACTTTAGTTTGGTTTTTAAGCGATCTTAAGAACAAAAGTACGAGAACGACATTTAATTCCGATCATATCTTATGTTCAGGGTCCCTGGGTTGTAGTCCCTTTGAGCATAAAATGCATACATACGTACATGCACTATATTTGAATTTGTGACAAAAAAGTATAATGTTAGCTGGTGGAGGAAAATTCTCCTAGGGTTTCACTATCAGGTATGGATACTTACATTTGGGTGTGGGTGGGTTAAGTTCCCAAACTACTAAACCAACACAACTCCCAAAATCCCACACAAACTCTTGCACGTTTGGCCTTTAAGCACACTTTTACTCGCTTTAACTCGCACGTTATTCAATTTAGCTACTTTTGTAGGCAATGTAAACACTTCGTGCTAAAAATCCTCTACTTGTAAGCATCACCAAGCATTTATTTAGCCAATATTATCAATTATGATATATATATGTATGTATATAATAATTTAAGATAATCATCAGTATCGCCTAATTAAACTATATTTAAGTTAATAATCTGCCTACACTTTTTTAGTAATCACAAAAATTCTACCTTTTCTCTGTTTTTCTTTCCCTTCGATTATCTTCTGCAGGTTCAGCGCCGCTTGGTTTCTATACGCCTGTGAAAGCACCCATCGATAACCTCTTTCAATTGGGCGTAACGCGTGCACCTAACGGTAATGGACATCACGCCTACAATAAAACATCAACGCCCACAACCAATGGTACCACCGCCACACAAAATGGTCAAAGTAATGGTGGTGGTGGTGGTGGTGGTGTCAACAGCAATGGTAGCAACAATGGCGGTGGTAACAGTGAAGGTGGCGCAGACGAGGGCGAGGAGACAGCCGAAAGTTTGCAATACATCAAGCCGGCGAATGATGATCTCACCATAGCGTACAGTGAAGGCACGCAGAAGACAGATTTGCTATATTGAATTGGAACGAAACCGGGCGAAGCAGGACGAGCAGTGGTAAACAGCGCAGCCGCAAAGCAGAAAAGTAGGCAATCGAGCGTAAAAAAGGGGTTTGAGGAAGCTGATTATTTGAAAAGTAGCGTGCAACTGCAAGGCAGCAGTATTCAGTGGATTTTTTTTGCAGCCGAAGAGAGAGAGAGAGCTTTGCTTCCTGTGGCCGGCAGCAGTCGCACGTATGCAGGGCAGGAGCAGTGTTGCACATTTTGAAAATTGTTCATATTGGAGCAACACACAAGTTATATAGTAAGCTAGTTTATAAGTCGTCTAGGCGTGCATTTTTCTTTAATAATTATATTTAGCATTTTTTTTATTTTATGATTTTTTTTGTTCTTTACTCTTGCGATAATAATTTAGTAATATGCAGTTTTTTTTGTTTGATAAATACTATATTCCATTGCACTTTTTATGTGTGCTTGTAAAATTAATGCAATGCAAATTTTTTGTCTGTTATTAATATAAAAACAAAAAAAATTTAAAAATACAAAAAAAAATTATGAATAAATAATAAAAAAGTCTGTTTAGCTTACAGAGAAATTCCGAAAATTAATTGTAATAGATATACTTCATATGTTGTGTATGTAGCATTAGAGCGTGGCGCCAAAAAAGCATATATGCTGTAGTGATAAAGAGAATGCAAACAAAAGAAAATGGCATCTAAAAAAACCGATTGCAAATTTAAAGTCAAGAAATAAGTAAAAAAAAAATGGTGCGCACGAGAGCTTTGCAAGTATTGTATGTATGTAGCAGCTGTATAAAAAAAAGTTATATATTAAATTTTTTAAGTTGGAAACCCCGTATCTATCATAAAATAGAAGAATATTTTCCCAATTTTCCCAATTTAAAATAAGGGACCGATAATTAACATTAAATATCAAGATTTTTATATTTAGATCATTGCAAAATCGTTATTATTTATTTTTAACAGACTTAAAAAAAAGAAGAAGGTTATCAATTCGTCGGAATATTTTTTGTTATTTATGTTACCGCTTAACTTTGGAGCACGCTAACCGATTTCTAGTTTAATCGTTATTTTGGAATTTTGTTTTAATAAAAAATAACCGTTATTTTGCATTTAATTTTTTTGCCGTTCATCTAAAAAAAAAATAAAAGAAAAAAAAAAATAAAAATCAAAATCAAAATTTATCGAAAATCAATAACAACATCGATACAAATTTCGATAACAAAATCGGTGAAAATATCGGTAACAAAACCGATAAAAATATCGATGGCAAAATCGATTAAAATATCGGCAACAAAATCGATAAAAATATCGATAACAAAACCAAACAGATCCACATTAACTGAAACTTTCATATGTACGTATATATGCATTTACATATGTACATACGCTGCGATCAAAAGCCGCATTACATACGCGTAGATACTTTTTGTCTCCTTCCCACACTTCCAACATATGCACGTGTTTGCAAAATGATGACGAGGTGATTTTGTATGGAAATCAATTTATGCCCATATATTTGAATAAAATAAACATATATAGAAGATATCAACCAATACTTCCCATATACCAAACGAAAGGAAAACTCTTGAATTTTTGATTAAAGAAAACAAAAACAAAATCATTCAAGCGGTTTTCGAGCATTTTGGTAATGAAAAAAATTTGCAAATTTTTTCAACCATTTTTTGCCTTAAAATGCTCAATATTTGTTAAATTTATATAAAATTTGTACCCGATAATATTTCTAC